TACATTCTTATGGGGACTTTCATTTCGAATGAAGGTACATGATTGCATTATTCTTAAGTTGATCTCACCGAAGGAAAACGGCAGAATTTCGCTGTCCGGCAGACATTTGGCATTAACGCGGCGTGAACGGACTTTCTCTAAGATTAATACTAAATTATGAAAAGAGTGTGCTTCATAAGTTAGCAAGTTTTCATTCTTAGTATTTAGAATAGATACTGGTTTTTGACTATATTTATTTTAAAATGTCAATGAATCTGTAGCAGTTGAAAGGCTGATAAATTCAGAGGAGGATAGGTAAGTAAGTATTGATAATATTTCTATAAAACAATATACAGATTGATGCAGTCAGCGAGACATGCTGCTTAAATTGGATGAAAATGAGCTGAGCATCACCTTTCACATGAAGACATCATCACGATTAGAACTCATTCTAGAAAAAGTCTCAAGTTAATGCCAAGTCAAGAAGACGGTTCGGTTCTAGCATAGGTGCTATATAAACTGGTATCGTCAACCCAAAATCAAAAGGGTAATCATTTTAACAGGAAAATAATGTCTCAGCCGTTCCAGCTCTTCCCTAAAATAATGTCTGTCTCTTCTGCTTTTGCCATACTCATAGTGAGCACTGACTTCATAATTCTAGCCTCTCTTTGGTAACTATGATTAGAGAGAAAATCCAGAAAAGAACCCAAATATGCCGGTTTCCTAGTAACATATCTTCCCTAATAACCAAAGCATTCAAAAAAGGTAAACATTTATCTTCTTCTATTTTCATTGTGAACCTCATGTTTCTTTCAGGCTGGTTAAGTGGAAATGGGTAACTATCTAATATCTCTTTCGCATGCTGCCAGATGACAAAACAATCGTCCATATATTCAACCAACGATTTAGGAGTTAATATTGCCTCTTGCAGTAATTCTTTCTCGAGTTTTGCCACGTAGAAATTGGCCAAAACGGGAGCTAAGCAAGAACCCATTGCGATTCCTTTCTTCTGATCACAGAATGTACCGTCAAAGGTAAAATAGGCTTAATTTAATCTCATTCGCAATCCCTGAATGTACCCTCAGGGTGAGTATTAGGGCCTGATTGACCCCCTGAATTGAAACATTTGTGTGCAAAGTGACCACATCAAAGTTTACTAACGCATCTTCCTCTGAAATCATCTGCTAATCGACTAATTTTACAAATTCACGGGAATTCTCAAGAGAATATAGCCCAAAATCAGCAGCTATCCTCAATAGAATGCATCAGGCTTCCTTTATTATTTACAATTAATCTGAGAGGAACACTTTTCTTGAACAGCGGGTATCAGATGTCGTCTTCAGATGAGATCAACCAACGAAATGATTGACTCAAAAATAATAAAAAAGCAGCATACAGAGGGGATAGAAAAGAAGAGAAGAGATGAGAAAGAGAAGAGAAAGGAGAGAAGAGAAGAGAAAGAAAAGAGAAGAAAAGAGGAGGAGAGAGGTGTAGGAAAGTCAGGGAGGTATAAGGTGGAAAATGTTTGCCTTATTAATTAATCATATTAATAACCTACCTTCTCTCCCCAACTTAAGTCGGCCGCCTGTTTTACCATCCAATCCGTCTGCCTCAAGTCTTGCTGACTTTGTATGGTTCCACTGGATGTGGTCTTTGCTTGATCCTCTCTTAACTTCGTTTCATTCAGCTGGGTCTGCCTAATTTCAGGCTTTTCTCCATCAATTTCGCGCTCCCATTCTTCGTCTTCTCTTTTTACAACAAACGCTTTTGTTGAGTCTGCGGCTGTAGCAGCTGTTGCTGCCTGCCTCCCCAAATGCAGTGAATCATGATTTCCCGGAGAGTTTGACGCCACTGCAGTGCAAGTTAGGGTCATGTTGCCTGGCAGGCTGCAGTCAGACGTATCTTCTACCCGGCCTGGACAACAGAAGTGGCTGTCCATTTCCGCC